CAATGTGTAGTAATTGGCTGCCCATTGCAGCTACAGGGACTGTCGTTTTTCTATCAGTGCTACCATTTGTTTTATATATTAATAGGGTTTCCTGGAAGGCCACGAGTGTATGTAGTGCTTCGGTGTTCAGCTGTGATGTTTTCGCAGAGGTATCGGTATGAAATACTATGATTATAATTATGCTTTAGGAGCACATGTCAGATGGAAAGAAGTTAAGGATCAGAGGAAAGTATTTGGTCTACTGGACCTTCCGGTTTTCTTTATAAAAGTCACTGAATATGGCTTGCATATCGCAAAATAGGTGTTATCGTCTTGTACAGTAGACTAGGTAACTTAGGAAGCGACATTAGTGGAGTCTGTATACTCCATTTACGCCTCTCAGACGGTTGCATTCTATAAGGTAGCTAAAAGCGTCCTGTAAAATGTTCATTTTTGAAACATTGACCAATGACCAAAGTCTAAGATCAAAACGTATATAAGCATCGCATAGTATTATAGCAGTTAATTATATTAATTAATATCATATACTGCACCAGTTCATCCGCAGATTACCTAAGTGGAGGGCAAAAGGTAAAGGAGGGATAGGTGTCAAAACTAGTTGTCTGTAATATTTTCAGTGTTTAAGCACACCGGGGTGCATTCACAGTGGTCAAACGAAGCCTTAAGATAAGCAAAGATAATAAAATTCACTCTCGACAAATTACCAAAATGTAATCTTATCGTTTTTAGTGACAAATTATAAATATAAATTAGCACCTTACGCAAGCAAACACTTTGTTGCAAACTCTCTATATGATATTCTAGCAGAAATAATGACGGGCGTGGCCATCGATCCGCGAAATTTTCAATGAAACAATGTTCACAGATATAACATTGTATATTATGGTTATAAATTGATCAAGAACGTTGTTATTGAGCGTTGGTTTGCGGAACCACAGTTTATTGGGCTATAAGGTTCTTCATGTGTGGCATATATATCTGCAGAGAATAAAAACTAAGAATTAACTAAAAGAGAGTGATCTGGATATCCCTCATAGTCTGAGGGTCTTAATAAACAAAAATATAGACGCACACATTTACCAATTCATTAAAAGTACAGAAGAACGCGAAATGCTCACTGACGTTTCAAAAATACGAGGAATCAACAGTGTTGTAAACATTATTTAACGGTTATGATTCAAAGGAAACAACGTGGGCATTATTAGTTTTTGATAATGTTGTGACTTTATGAACGGTCGACGATTTGTCATAATAAAAACTTTCATATAACTTCCAGTGGCTGCCGAATCACATCATGCATCCTTCACTGCAGTCACTTAAATTTCAAGCAGTCTAAAACCGAAAAATTTTATCAAAATGCAAGGGGGTTGTTTTAAGGCATGTAATTAATCAATAAACTGTTTATTAACGAACTTTTTTTAAACCCGGTTATATCAGTGACAATGGTGATGGTGACGAAAAATTAGTTTCTGCAAACGCGTTCACGGTTATAACTACTTCTGCGTGTGTTATGATATTTTGCGAATATTAAATGGGTGTAGAATAGAAACAATAACTTTAGCCAGTATAAAACATGTCAACAGGAAATTTGCGAGGACGCTACATGGATCGGAAAATGCCTCCCTACCAAAAACTCCTAATATGGTGAATTTTGACCGGCGTGTGGACTTATATTAGACTGCTTGATTAAGCGCTCAGTGGATACAAATTTCGGATGTAAACTTCAGGTTAAATGAATTCTTGATTTCGTTACGCTCACGGGCAGAAAGTGTAAGGTAGGTTTAAGGAACCAATTCAGAGGGTAAAAATCATATTGCTGCAATGAAAAGTTCGGTGATTTAACGCTGGGTACTGGTTCACTGGACCATAGTCGATAAACAAAGACAGAGGATATTTTACCTTTATATTCTGCACTGAGACTTTCCATGGGCGAAGTATAAAGCCACATGGGGAGGACGACTGTTCCAGTATCAGTTGGACAACTTGCCGAGTAACTGTCACGCGGCGGATTAACGCCGGTGACATAATTACGGTAAGCAGCTATCATCCGCATCAAAATACGATATCTAGCAATGAAATTGGGAGATCCCAATTATATTTGTATTGTTATATGATGGCATGCCACCTGAGTTCTACGAATACTCCAGTCTTTGCACCTCCACCCTTACTTATTTGCCTCTGTTCCTGATATTACCTTCGAGTGAGAATCTAAAAAGTCAGATCGGTGAGTGTCTTGTTCCAAAGATCGCACTTTCACCTATGCGGCGAAATCCATTAAGCTACAAATAACTATCCCAGTCTCCCCTTGCATTGTCAGAACATCTGTCTGCTCCCGTCATTAAGTAGAAAATTCTTCAAATTTCTCCCCCTGTCAACAAGACTACTTTTCAAAAGTTTTGATATATTATTCCGCTAGCATGTGATAAGATGCATCAAACGTGATGAGCTTTTACAATTAGCAAGCAGCCAAAAACGAAAACCATCTCTATGGTTCAAATTTCGTGTTTTCGGAGATTTGCGTTTATAATGTTAAATGCGTGACAAATTTTGAGAAGACACGTAGGTAGTAGCTCGTCCTTGACTGACTGGTCTAACAACGATTTCAAATGATTATTGAAGTTCAGTGGGAAACTCAGGAATATTGCAATCAGTGAGCCGACATTATTGCCGCTTGTGAGGCAGTTCATTGGAAGCGTACGTGCACCCACTTGCACTCCAGAAATACTACTTAATAAGTCAGCAAGAATTTTTAAAACACCACTGAACGAACTTGGAGATGGTCACTTTTCGTACACTTTGTGGATTGCTGAAGCTATCATCAAAATCTCACTACTACCATACGAACGCACCTCTGAATGTCCACAGTAGTTAATATCAATTTCGTCAATATCAACAGCAGTTGGCTTACCTAACAAAATATGAAGGCGAACATTTGTGTGCTCTTTTTTGGAGTGACTCATGTTTCTCAGATTGCTTATACATCTAGCTTGTCTCAAAAATGTCGTTATCTTGTGAGGAATATGTTTTTAACAACAATTTTAGGACAGAAATATGTACGATTTGGACGCAATTCATGAAAAGAACGACCGTGACGCGAACTTGACGATCCGCGAAGAAGCAGACACGATTGCTAGAACAAGTGCTTTATCGGTCTGACATCTCTGATTCTTACTCGCATTCATCATTTGAGACAGGGTCAGATAAGGGCGGCGGTTTGGCTAGACGTTGCACTATTTCTGGGATGTAGTTGCTAGGTCGCTACATGCTATCACAGTTGGCAGCTCCCCAGTGCGTCACAG